AGGGATATTGGAGTGCCTCAGAGGCTTACACAGCCTTTGGTCCTCTGTGACAGACAGTCCCCCTTGTGTGTGACAGGTCCGTGGGTCCTGCTGCCTGGTTGCTCTGTGTTGGTCTCTGTGAGGCTTTGGCAGTTTCCCATTAGAGGGCAAAGGGGGATGGGAAACCATATAGAAGGGATGCTCGAGTCTAGGTTAATGGTTCCTAAGTTACTGTGTGTGTGTGTGTGTGTGTGTTGGGGGGGGGGGGGGGGGGGGCATGGAAAAGACCCTCACTCAGACAGAGTTTTACATAATTTTTTTACATAGAGATACAGCTCAGGTGTGAGTATTGCTAAATGATTCAGTATTTTTTTGTCACTCATTCATAAAATGAAACTCATGCATTATATTGATGCATTATGCATAGTGTTAAATATGTCATGCTTTTATTTCTTGTAATTTTGATGATTATGGGCTGTAAGTTTTGGTCCAAATGGGACAATTGTGATGTGGTGAAAGATGACATAAAGTTAGTTGGTGGGAGGGTAGTGGATGCAGAAGACGAGACTAAATGAAGACAGATGTGTGTCAACGCATTAAGTGAAAAGCCCAAAGACAAAGAAGAATGGCTTAGAGATCAAGAAACCCAGAAATTAGTGTCTCAGAAAAGAAAGAAATTGCAGAGAATGTTAAATATTGAAAACTCTTAGTTTCGATAATCAGCTAGTTATCCCACGTTTCCTGGTCCCCCAAATGATATGGTTCAGTAGAATACACAATCATGCTGAAGACAGTCATTGTCCCCTAAATACAAAAGGTCAGTGTTAAAGAAGCTGCTTGTTCACAGAGTTTTGCATCCAAGCATATAGGAAGCTGAGTGAAAGGATAAAGTGTGATAGGAAAAGGTGCACCGACATCAAGAGAAACCGCAGCCTTGAGAGGTTTGTCAACATAAATCCAATCAAAAGTTTAAATCCATTTTAAACAACTCTGAAACCAGATACAAGGTCAGAAGCATCTTACCTGGGCTGTGGGGAAAATAACTGGACTCAGTGCTCTAAATTCCTCTTCAGATGTGACTAAAGTCTGAGAGTCATTTGAAGATCATGGCCCAAGATTTTGGAAGAAGAGTCGAGACTCAATAAATCAATAAATCAATCAATCAATCAATCAGTCAATCAATCAATCAATCAATCAATCAAAGCTTTATTTATAAAGCGCCTTCTGCAACCCTGTCAGGAAGCCCAAGGCGCTGAACATGGTACAGTAGAAGAGAGAGTCACAGAACCCATCAAGTCAACAATCTACTAGGACATTTTAGAGCACCTCCTGCTTCCTTCTGCCTATAAGCATTATGAAGATGTTCATTTCATATTCAAGCAGGATGTGGCGCCTACCCACACTGCCAAAGGTACCAAGAGCTGTTTTAATGCCCTGGGTGTTACTCAGCTTGAGCAAGGCAGCAAACTGGTCCAACCTGAACGTGTCACCATTCTCAACAATACAGGTGACCTGGAGTCTGCTATCATAGCTCCCTGGGCTTCCATCACATCTCAGCAGTGTCATGGGCTGTTGGCCTCCATGCCACATTGATGCAGTAGTAGTAGTAGCAAAAGGAGGCCCAAACAAGTACTGATGCATTGAATGATACATGTCCTGGACTTTTATAGATCTTTTCAGTCTGAAGCACTGCAGTATAAATTAACAAACTTTTCAGAAGCCAGAAATTCCTGCTTAAGATACTTTTTGTCACTGTTATTGTGTAATATTCAATTTTTCTGAGACACAGAATTTGGGATTTTATTATATGTAAGCAACATCATCATTGGAATGATTTTCAAAAGGCTTGACATATGTGTAATAATTATAACACGAGTTTCACTATAAAAAATGAACTTTTTTCACAACAATCTAATTGTCGTAGCTATACATGTAATTGCGCAAGCTAGAAATCTTTATAGTTACTCAACCAGTTAAGATCGACATCTGTATTCATGCAGTTTGAAGGCTTTTGCCGTTCGTGTGGAGCTTTCATCACCAAGCCTCTAAAGTGATCCCTTCTGTTATTCTGTAGCTTAAACTCCAACATAATAACCAGCATCTGCAGTTTACTTTTACAGAGACGTCAGAAAAAATGAGCCAAGCAAGTTTCAAAGATAATGGTAATGTTTTTAAGAGTGTGTGTAGTTCCTAACACCTGCTTGTAGTTGTGCACAGAATTAACACCTCACCATTAAACCCTTTGGTGTGTTTAACAAAGATGGAAACCAGGCCAGAGCTGAAGAGGCAGTGGGGGGTTTTAGTATGACTCAACACTTTTTGCAGGTGCTTCCCTAAGTAAATGACTCCAAGTTACGTTTTAATTTATTTGCATGAGAAGATGGTCAGAACAGCTATGTGCTTAATGGCTAACTCATACTAGTCAGACCTGTTCTTTGTTGTCCTATTGCATTTAGGAGATGTGAACAAGAAAATAACAGTTACAATGTGTAGTTTTTAACCGTTTATCTCTGGAAATAATCATTGAAATGTTGAAAATGTATGAAATGATGCCCAGTTGTTGAAAAATACTGGCAGCTTTGAAACACACAACCATAAAAATATGGTCTAAATACCATGGGAGTGGCTCTAAGTCTCTGAGCTGCGCCATGTTAGATGCAATGTTTTCTACTATGTCAGCCCATGAGGACAAAACACATTTACTGATTTGCAACAAGCAGTTACAACACGTTCACCATTCATAAACATTGTTGTTTTACCTATTTACCTTTTTGCTCATTGCTGGTGATGAAAGGAAGTCTGATGTTCTTGCCATTTTGATGGAGGTTTCTCTCCCAGGGTTTTTTGACCCTAATGGCCATCTGTTGGTCACGTCTTACTCAAACACAAAAATTCTGCTTGTTTGCAACAATTTAGGTATTTACTGCCCCCTATCACCAGGAAAAAACACACACAGTCAAAGCAAAATCTTTTAAAAAGAGCTTCATTTAAGGATGGTGTTCTTTTCTTTCACGGGGTTAATTCTTTTATCTTTTTCCATTAGATCTGCTTGGCTAGATATTAGAAACTTTCTTTGAAGGTATTTGCCAGACCCTGCATTAAAATTGTAGAAATGCAGTATAACTACACTTTACCATCAATATAAATATGAACTGGGTTCAGTTTTTCATTTTATTAAGGACTTTTGTCATAAATCATTACAGAAAATCCAAATTCCCTCCTCCAGAGAGTGAAGATCTGTGCTCCGCATACGTCCCTCCATAATGTAAAACAAGGTGTTGCTAGTTGTTAGGGATTTTATCAGTAACCCAATACCTGCAACTAGAGAGAAAGGAGACAATCTAAGCAGACAAGTCACACAATTGCAATCAGGGGCAGAAGCTCAAGGCAACTGCCAAGAAAATCTGCCCTGAGAGTTTATTTATAACACGAGATGAGAAAAGAACAGAAGGTGTGTGTGTAGAAGTGTATGTGTATGTGTGAATGGCTACAGGAATGTGTGGGTGTGTCTGAATAAATGAGAATGCATTCTGGCATAGAGTAATACATGATACATTCAATTGATAGGATCAATGATCAAGAAATAATAAACATAAAATTTCAATAACACTAATATTGTGGATAACTGTATTTTGTTTACTTTCGTGCTCTTAATTATTATAGAAAATGGTGTTTGCAGGAACACCAGAGGCGGGGTCTGTGTTCTAGAGCTGTTTCAGCAGAGCTCCTTGTGAAACGTCACCCGCTGCCAGCGCTTAGACTGGATGTTGGTTTCTTTTTTTCCCGTGCCAGTCAAAAACATCAGATTTCTTTGAATTCCAGCCATGAAAATCCAAAAATCTTTTTCATCTGAGGTTTTAATGCTTCTTTACACACGCGATTCAAAGGAATTTTGCCTCGGGCCAATATCTTTAACATCCTAGCTTCTTAAAATAAATTGTGATTTTGTGAAATCTGATTTTATTAGCAGGTGAAATGATAAAAACATAATTACACATCTCTAAGATATTACAACTGTTAAACTTTTATGCCCATTGGAGGTGGAGGCAAAAATAAGTAGACACACTGCAGGTTCACAAACTGCATGCTTTAACTTTAGTTACAGACCCGTGCATCTGAGAAGACACAGAGCTGAGCAGGGAAAGGGAGTTCCTGACGTCAAGCTAGTAATGAAGTTTGTTCTCCTTGTTATCACAACTCTAGGGTTTCCTTATCGCGGTGCCACAGCTCGCCGGGCCGGTGTGCCCGGACGGCGGGCTGCGCACCCAGACAGACGCCGTCTTGTCCTGCATTCTTTCAGTCAGCAGGACCCTCTGAGATCTTAGTCACTGAGAAGGGGATTTGGTTACACACAAAGAGAAATGTGCCTGTTGGGATTTGCTTAAGAGAGCAGTGTTAGTACTTCTTGGCAAAAGTAGCTTGGTGCGTTGAATGTTTGACACAAAGTGCCATATTTGCTTTGTCTCCTTGAGTCTGAGGGATGGATTCTTTCTATCTTATATTGTGTTTGCAGTCTGAGCCAACATTAGGAAAAACGTGTCTTTGTTGATCTTTTTTAGGATTTTTCAGGTGATAACTCGAGTCATAATGTTTTGATTAAAACCGTTTAGGTTTCTGAAGATTTTTTAATATACTATTAAATGCATTTTTATTCTCATCACTTTAAAGTTTTAAAATCATTTACAGTACAGAGCATACTTGTTGTCCTAACCTTTTTATTAAAAAGTACACCAAATGCATCAAAAATGTAGCTGAATTATAGAAACATGCTACACACTTCTGTACATATTTTTTAATGTAGTCACTTATCTTGTGCTGGCTCCAGTTTTAAACTTTATAGCTTGTTTATGCATTTTTCTGACAGTTTTCAACCGATGGAAGACATTTCCTCAATGTCAAAATGAACCAAAATAAGTATTTTAGCTGCAAAGAGAAAAGCAACTGTGCTTGATGTTATTTGATGTTACACACAATGATTTTAAGCACCATCTGCATGTGTCTTTGTGTGTATTTGCATGCAGTATTGCAGGCATGGAATGTGTGTGAACAAGGAGTTGGACATGCAACCGGTCCACGGACAGTGGGGTCCTTGGGGACCATACAGTATTTGCTCCAGGTCCTGTGGTGGAGGAACAAGGAGCACCACTAGAGACTGCAACAAGCCTGAGTAAGAAAAAAATCACTTCTGACCAATAAAACACATGGAGTATCTAAAATGTATAAGACTGACTTGGATCTGGTCCTGCACTAGGCCCAGAAATGGCGGTAAGTTCTGTGTAGGCCGCCGGATGAAGTTCCGCTCATGCAACACTGAGCCGTGCCCGCGAGGAAGGAAGGATTTTCGCGAAGAGCAGTGCTCTCAGTTCGATGGCAAGCACTTCAATATCAATGGTCTACCTCCCTCCGTCCGCTGGACCCCCAAGTACAGTGGTGGTGAGTTCACTGACATGAAGTCTCTTATTATTATTGATCAGAAAATAAATCTGACACACACCAATAATCTGAAAGTACACAAAAAGGTTTGGAGCCAATCCCAAGTATATGAAATGTAATTGTCACAGGTTCAAATGGCTTTTGTAATTAAATTCTTCTCAAGAGTCAATATTTTAAGTGTTGCTTCTTTTTTTTCTAACATCTCCATCTTCACCAATCAACTTCTGAGCCAAATCCTGATTGATGGCAGCTCATTCCTGCATAATCAATACTTGGACTTTGTCAGACCTTTAGGGTTTTGTTTGACCACCTGCCACTTGAGGATTGGTGACAAGCTCTCAATGGGATTATTGTCTGTGGCATTTCCTGCAACCGGACCCACGTTTTCATGTTTTGTTTATCTTTTCTTCTCCAGTTTCTTCTTGAAGGTTTAAGCAGTGGAAGAATAGATTTGTGCAAGACCGTATTGTTTAGCTACAGAGAGAGCTCACCAACCTTTCCTCTGGTGGTGCACGTTTTTCTTTATATTGAATAAAAAGTGTGTTTCATCTTTTTCTTCACCAGTTCCAGTAATCATTCATATATTAAACAGAAGTTGAATCCTCTTTTAGTGCCTGTATGAGATTACACCATTTATGTTTCACATTCATTCTCCTTTGCTGCAGATTTCTGACAGCTCAGTAATTGCTAAAGCTGCTTCGTAAGATGCGAGTAATCCTTTTGTTGAAGACAACATTACCATTAAAGCTGCATGGACCCTTTACACAGCTGTAGCTTGGTTGCTATTGAGCTAGCCAGGCTGCAAGATTACCATCTGGCAAATTTACTTCAAGTGATTCATTCATTTAGTTGATTCTATACAGGCAAACAAGCCAAGCCCCGGAGTCAGTACACTGTCTGTTATATTTTCATCCAAACACCAGGCTAAAGTTGGGCTGTTAAATCACTGAGCTAAGGTTTCATAAATAAATTAATAATTGTGGATAAGGTTTTACCAGATTTGTGAACCTAAGTAAGTCCCAGCCATGTCTTTGTTCTGACAGTTTAGATTTGCTTTGTTTTATCGGCTTGATGAACCATTCCTGCTTCCTTGTTTTTATTTTCTGTGCAGTTCTAATGAAGGATCGCTGTAAGCTCTTCTGCCGGGTCGCCGGCACTATGGCTTACTATCCGCTCAAGGACCGCGTCATTGATGGCACCCCGTGTGGTCCAGACACTTACGACATCTGCGTTCAAGGCCTTTGCAGGGTATGTCTGCATGTTTATGCTTCCTCTGCTGAGTGCTGCACACAAGCTTCAGCACAGTTCACTTACTGCCATGCTTATTGCCATGTAATGCAGAGTCTAATTTATTATTCCATGCACATTTTAGCCATTACAGCTGAGTTCAGTTAGATTCAGCATTCTTGGTCAACCTTTATTTTTAGTTATGAGTTGTCACTGCAGGAGATGAGGAAGTTTGTGGGTCAAACATTCACAAAACATTCAAACGCATCCTTTTTAAGTACACAGTGACACACAAACATTCAGAGAAACATGAAGTTTATACTTTCTGTTTTTGTGTCTTTTTAGCAAGCAGGCTGTGACCATGTGCTTAACTCAAAGGCCAGACATGATAAGTGTGGAGTGTGTGGAGGAGACAACTCATCGTGTAAGACTCTGGCAGGGACCTTCAACGACGCTCAGTATGGTGAGTCCCAAATCAGATTACACGAGTTGCTAGAATACACACATGAAGTTAGCAGCTTTGGTGGATAATTTCACATCAAACATAGACAAGTTCAGATGTTAAACACTTATGTGGCATCTGAACATTTCAAGCCACAACACACACATTTAGGCAACTCTGGGGCCAATCTATGTCACAGCTTTAGAAGCCGATTAACAGTGTCATTTTTGTCGGTTCCGCTAACTCAAACGTAGCATCGTCATCTTCCTCAGTGCAGTGGTTTGGTGAGGGCTGACTGCTAAATGCGTCCAATCCTTTCTAAGTCTGGCCAACGACACAGTAGATGCATTAGCATAAAAAAGTTCTGGGTGCAGCTTCCCAAGTGTTTGCACAGAGTTTGACACTGAGTGTTTGCGTCTCTACCCATTAGCTTTCTTCTATTGGAAGCAAAGTGTTTTTGACTGTATGGAAACAAACCAGGCACTGACATTACCTCTGGAAATCTGGATTAAACTTAAGAAGGTGGAAAACAAGCGGGCTTGCAGGCAGGGCAGGAAATCCTTCCGTTCCTGGATCTGGGCTTGCCTTTTTGCCATTCATGCTTTGTTCTTTTTGTTCAACACTTCTTAATGTCTTAGTGTATTGTCTACATGGCTCACTTCAATCAATTTCCCTCTGGGATTAATAAAGTATTTTTGAATTGAATTTGAATTAGTCTCTGTGCTTAACTTGTAGAGAAACGTGCGTTCACAGGTGGAAGTTAAAGGCACGGTCTGAGATTTATCTCAGGAACACTTGCTTGAAATGCTCTTCACACATACCAATGGCAACCAATAAATAACATGTTTTGTCATTACAAATGAAAAATTTTTGCTAACTTTCTAAATGGCTAAATCCTGGAACACCTCATCCAATCCAGCGCTGGCCCACTATGTGATTGGGTGACGGTGGCACAGGAGTTAAGTGCTTGCCCCGTAATCGGAAGGTTGCGGGTTTGAGCCCTACTCAGTTTGTCACTGTCATTGTGTCCTTGGGCAAGACACGTAACCTCCCTTGCCTTCTGGTGGGGGTCAGAGGGACCGGTGGTGCCAGTGCTCGGCAGCCTCACCTCTGTCACTGCGTCCCTGGACAGCTGTGGCTACATGTTTATGTTTATTTATTTAGCAGACGCTTTTATCCAAAGCGACTTACAATTTCTAACCTATAGGGCATGTTGTGATCTGTGGGGGAAACCGGAGTACCCGGAGGAAACCCACGCATGCATGGGGAGAATATGCAACTCCACGCAGAAAGGCCGCAGCCGAGTTTTTTTGAACCTGCAACCTTCGTGCTGCGAGGCAACAGTGCTAACAACTGCGCCACCATGCATCGTAGCTCATCCCCACCAGGGTGAAGGGGTGAATGATTGTGTTGTGAATCACCTTGGGGGGTTGCAGGACTCTAGAAGGCGCTATATCAAATACAGACCATTTACCATTGGATCATAACGCATCCATCAAACTGCCCCTCCTAACATTTGTCACCCTGCTGCACAAAAACACCCTTGATGTGCAGAAATGCAGCTGAACTGCCTAGTGCCATGGACAGTATTGTCCAGTTCTGATTACAAATCTCATTTAAATATGTGAATCACTTGTTTAATCAAAACCTTTGCTGTGGACTCTAGTAAGAATGGATGCCTTGTAAGGCACACTCTGGGGAAACAAAGCTCCAGTGCACCAGTTTCAGGAAGTAGAAGTGAGCCATTATTTTCATGACTAATAATCAATAATGCAATTTAGACAATATTTCTTCAGTGTTCTGCACCTTTTAGCGGTTTAAGGAGCTATTTAATGTTGTTCTTTTATAAGGGAAACATTTAGATGACAACGCTCTTCTCTAGAACATTCAGCTGTTTGCACGACACGCGAATGAGTGTGTATGAGTGTGTTTGCAAGTATGCATGTGCATCACCGCCAGCAGGTTTGTCTCAAGTTCAGGAGGCTTTGTTGTTGGTAGGGTTTCCCCAGATTGTCAGTGGCGCTGAGCTCTTGTGATTTTGAAGTTAGGGATGAATCAAAAAAGCCAAAAATGGCCTCATGCTGTCTATGCTAGCATAATAAAGTGGTGGTGGTAGAGGGGGGTGGGGTGTTCAGTTCGGAGTTGGTTTATGAAATTCTGACCTTAGCAGCTCAGCAGAGCTGCATGTCTGCTCCTGTGTGTCTGTCACAAGTGGTGTTGTACCATATTCTGCAGCCATCAGATTCTGTGACTGAACAAAGGGTTGGACCTTAGAATTTTTTATTTATTTTTTATTTTTTTATGTAGCTTGCTTGAACGTTTTTCCATCATCACAGATGATGTCTTTTTCTAAAAAAAAGTTTGTTCAGTTGTTCAGTTTTAGAAGCAAAACTTTCCCCAACTAAATTGATTCGTCTTTAAGGGAAACCCCAAAGGTTTGTAGTTACATAACATAAAAGCGGTTTTATGTAACAATCTATATATTATGTCAAGTTGGTAGAGAGAAGCAAGCTTGAGGTAAGCCTCAGCATCTTCTTACAGCACATGGTTAATGTTTTTCCTCATTGCGCTGTACTTACTGTACATTCCTGAGGTGCTCTGTGGGGTGGAGGATTGTGTGTGTGGGTAGCTGCTAAGCTGGGGAATCTTAGAGGCCACTAATTGCTCGTTGAGGCCATGTTTACTGAGGGAAACGCAGCATTGATGGTTGCTAAAGTTAATAGACTTCAGTGTTTTACTCTTCACCTTTAGCCTTGTGGTTTTTGGAGCAAACTGCAAGCCACATTTAAAAATGATTACAGTGAACTCCAAGGGAAGCTGGAAAGAGACTGGTGGAGCAGAAGAGTCTTTCATGACTATAAAGTATTAAAAAACATAAAATATTATAACAGCAAATCTCATTGCCACAAATCAGTCAGATGCAAAGATTATCTGGACGACAGATTAGCTTTCTGTCTGGTTAGAATAGATCATCACGTTTTTGAGTTTGTGTAATAAAAAAAATCTAGTTGATGAATAGTAGATATGAAAACCGATTGCTGCCCCCGAGTGGCTCAAGGTGTTAGCTTAGGTCTCAGATTACAAACATTTTTCTTTAATTTGGCTGGTTTACCTTTTCAGAAACAGCTAAAGGGATGGTGTCATTTTTAACCAACAAAACCAATATCAGTCTTTTTATGGAGTCACAGAGGCAAATACGGACTAAATTGTGACTACGCCACCAAGCCTAGAGTTAACATTAGTGTGTTATTTTCCATTTAATTATACAACAAATTGTTTTCAGCTACTATTTAAAATTCTCTCTAACAAAATATTGCACATGCTAATTAGATATGGCGAATGCTAATAGCTAGGAATTGATAAATGATATACTACATGTCTGATTTTGTGAAAAAAAAAACATAATGAAACGTGTTTTTATTTGGGTAAACACCTTCCTCAGTTGAAATAAATGCACCGGGGGCAAATGGAGACCCATCCAAGATGGCAGCCTTTTGCACCTACATTACCTAATCACGTGGGTCCACCATATTGGTTGGCAAAAGCATGTAAACAGTGAGCGACACGAGTACTAAGCACAGAGAAAAGAAGCGCCTGTAGTCTTTTTTGATTTTGTCATTGTTGTTGTTGATGTGTTTTGTGATCTTTAGCATTCCTTCAACTAGTTCAAGCCCAGTTCAGTTTTCAGAAGAAGAGCACACCCAGGCTGGGCTCGAGCGGTATTTACAAAAGTTCAGTATTAGCTCAATCAATCAAAGCTTTATTTATAAAGCGCCTTCCGCAACCCTGTCAGGAAGCCCAAAGCGCTTATGAACATTAGCTTATGTTCTCCCTGTGGTTGTTCACTGATGTAAACAAGTTACTGGCTTTGCCAGAATTCACCCCGCTGGATTCATAACATTATGTTATTAACACTGTTTCACTTTACACCAAAGCTGATTAAAATGGCTGTATCCCTACTAGTTTTGTTGCTGGTGGTTTCACCGGTGCAGATGCTGCTCTCACACCGGGATGACCGTGACGCTCATACTAAATAAATAACACAATCTTAACACACGTAATTCTGCACTGGAGTAATATTATTGAAAATAATTATCTCACTTTTCACTACAGCAAACAGCACCGCACATCCTCCATGGTTAAATATCCATCCATCCATTAGGATTATTAATAAGTAGTATAAACAAATCACATTTATCCCGGTGAAATGTATTAACGTTAATCTGACCCGGTAAAACATGTTTGCTGCAAATCTGAAGATACTGTGAGGGTTGCTAGTCCGTTTGATTGATCGCTGCGATTCATCTCTGTCTTTTTTCAAGTTTATTTATGTAGCGCCAAATCACGACAAGAGTCGTCTCAAGGCACTTCACATAATAAACATTCCAATACAGGTCAGTTCATTAAGCCAATCAGAAAAAAGTTTCCTATATAAGGAACCCAGCAAATTGCATCGAGTCACTGACGTCACTGGCTAGTGTCAGTGACTTTACAGCAGTCCTCATACTAAGCAAGCATGCAGTGACAGTGGAGAGGAAAACTCCCTTTTAACAGGAAGTAACCTCCAGAGAATCCTGGCTCAGTATAAGCAGCCATCCACCACGACTCACTGGGGATCGAAAAGACAGAGCAGACACACACGCAGACACACGCACGCACACGTGCGCACACACACACACACACACACACACACACACACACACACCAAGTAATGTTTCTATGGTTACATTGTGATTTCTTAGTAAGATTTCTTTAGTCTCCAACAAAGTTGCGTTTACATCACTGTCTGTTAGTGCAGCCAACCACACAGCAATATTACCATTTCAATGTATAATCAGCTACATAAAATAATACAAACTGGCTTGTTTTGAGTAACTTCACAGGAGTTTAAACGTGTGTAAACGGTCTTTTGCCATCCATCATTGCTAAAGGGGGTGGCCCCATAAGCGGCATGACATCCCGTGCAAAAGGTCAATAGGCAGCGCCAGTCCACGTGGCGTCTACGTAGTAAATGAAACAATTGACAAATAGATAGAAGATGAAGAAGACGAAAATATCTTTTCTATAGCGCCTCTCAAGATAAAAATCACAAGGCGCTTCACAAAAACAAAAAATGTAAAAATGTAAAAAAGAATTTAGAAAATGGTTATAAATATATTTTAAATGAGCAAAAAATAGACAATTGTGATTAAAAATGTAAAGAAAGAGAGAGAGTGAATAGATGAGAAGGAAATCAGTGGATAGCTAGCTTTTGTTTTGGGTAATGTTTGACATGCTAACAGAGAACATTTGAGAGTCTTGTTTTTTTTCTTTAAAAGCAAGACGCTCTCACAGAAAGTCCACCCATCCATTTTGCGCTGCTTATCCGGGGTAGGGTCGCAGGGCAACAGCCTAAGCAGGGAGGCCCAGACTTCCCTCTCCTCAGTAACTTGGGCCAGCTCCTCTGGGAAAATCCCAAGGCGTTCCCTGGCCAGGTGAGAGACTATAGTCCCTCCAGCGTGTCCTGGGTCTACCTTCAGGTTTCCTCCCGGTTGGACGTGCCTGGAAAACCTCACCAGGAAGACGTCCAGGAGGCATCCTGACCAGATGCCCGAGCCACCTCAGCTGGCTCCTCTCGATGTGGAGAAGCAGCGAATCTACTCCGAGCCCCTCCCAGATGACCGAGCTTCTCACCCTATCTCTAAGGGAGAGCCCAGCCACACTGCGGAGAAAACAAATTTTGGCCGCTTGTATCTGCAATCTCGTTCTTTCGGTCACTACCCAAAGCCCATGACCATAGGTGAGGGTAGGAACGTAGATCGACCGGTAAATTGAGAGCTTTGCCTTCTGACTCAGCTCTCTCTTCACCATGACAGACCGGTACAACACCCTCATCACTGTAGATGCAGCACCAATCTGCCTATCGATCTCACGCTCCAGTTTTCCCTCACTCTTGAACAAGACCCCGAGATACTTAAACTCCTCCACTTGGGGCAGGACCTCATCCCTGACCCGGAGAAGGCATTCTACCCTTTTCCTTTTCTTCCTCCCAACCGCAGCTCTCCAGGTCTCACTGTTGTTGCCCACGTGAGCATTAAAGTCCCCCAGCAGAACGAGGGAGTCACCGGAAGGAGCGCTCTCCAGCATCCCCTCCAAGGTCTCCAAAAAGCGTGGGTAGTCTGAAATGTAGTTTGGTGCATAAGCACAGACCACAGACAGAACCCGTCCCCCCACAAGTAGGCGGAGGGAGGCTACCCTCTCATTCACCAGGGTAAACCCCAACGTACAGGCACCAAGATGGGGGGCAACTAGGATGCCCACCCCCTCAGTGGGAGCAACTCCAGAGTGGTAGAAAGCCCAACCCCTTTCAAGGAAGCTGGTTCTGGAGCCAGAGCCATGCGTTGATGTGAGTCCGACTATATCTAGTCGGAACCTCTCAAACTCACACACTAACTCGGGCTCCTTCCCCACCAGAGAGGTGACATTCCATGTGCCAAGAGCCAGCTTCTGTAGCCGAGGATCCGACCACCAAGGTTCCTGCCCTCGACTATCACCCATCACACACTGCACCTGACCCCTTTGGCCCCTCCCACAAGTGGTGAGCCCATGGGAAGAGGGACCCACATTTCCTCTTTGGGCTGTTCCCGGCCGGGCTCCATGGGATATAGCCCGGCCACCAGGAGCTCGCCAACATGCCCCACGTGCCCCGGTGACCCACGTCCAGGCGAGGGAACACAGTTTCCATTTATATTATTCATCATAAGAGGTCTTTGGGCTGCTCTTTGTCTGATCCCTCACCTAGGACCTGTTTGCCATGGGTGACCCTACCAGAGGCATAAAGCCTCAGACAGCTTAGCTCCTAGGATCATTGGGACACTCAAACCCCTCCACCATGGTAAGGTGGCAGCCCAGGGAGATAAACTTTCTCACAGAAAGTTTTAGATTAAATTATTCCCTGTAGTGTTATATTTTTATTTCTGTGGGTTTTTGTGCTTCACATCAACTTTTCATACCTACATGTTGCTGTCACATCTTGGCTTTTGACTGCTCCGTCACACTCGCTGGTGTTCAAACAACAGGACCGGTGTGGTAATTGCAGGCCGAAAGGAATAATTACATATTATTTCATGGTCAGGCCTTTGAGTCTAAAACAAGGCCTTCTGCAGGTTATTTGAGATGACTTGAGCCTTTTCATATTTTTTTTTCCAAGTGTGACATTTAAATCCCAGGTGGATGGAACCAGACTTTCCTGTCTGGAGTTTTGTTTAACATAGTGAAGCTATTATGGAAATTGTGTCTGGACCATTCATTGCTGTTGTTACAGCTACTTTATTCCCTGTGGAACACATGCTCGGTGTCCTAAAGTATGGGTTTGTATTTCATTGTGTTATTTATTATTTTTTTCTTTTTCTTTAGGTTACAACGTTGTGGTGCGGATCCCAGCTGGAGCCACCAATATTGATATCAAACAAGTCAGCTACTCTGGAAAACCAGAAGACGACAACTACCTCGGTGAGTGTTGCTTTGGGCTGTCATTACCCTTCATAACACCCATGTATCACCACTTAGTGACCTGGATCTAGGGGGCACCAATATAACAAGATGGCCTGAGCAGTAAATGTGTGTATAACAGTAAGGAACTGTTGTTTATAACACGTTAACAGTATATGAAGAAAATGTCAGGTTCGTTGGCAGATCTGAAGCGTGACTGAGAGGATCTGTTGCCCAGACGCGGAGTGATGGAAATAACCAGCGTGGTTATCTCCTGAAGGTTTAGTTTGAAGGTTTAGAGGGCTGGTAAGCCTGGAGACTCGATACAAAGTCTGGTGAGAGCGATGACTGAGCAATGAATGAAACGCCGGCACTTCCTTAAGTAGTGTCGGTGTGATGACGTCAGCCGCCACGTTGGTGGCAGGAATGATTGGAATGAAGTCAGCGGGAGGAGTTTGTGACACAAAACATGGAAACCAGGAGAATACATGTATCATTTGTTCTTTGTATTTTCAATTGAAAAGAAAAAAAAAATCAAAAACGAAAAATAGATTTGTTTTTTTTTCTTATTTATTTTTAAAACAGGTTCAATAAAACAAAAACAAAACTAGAACTGCAAGCAGTTATCAACGGGTTCCAAGCCATCCAGAGCCAGTCCCCCACCCAGCCCCACCCAGCCCCACCCAGCCCCGCCCTCGCCATTCCTCATGAGGACCCGCCCCAACAACAGTTCTCCTGCCGGCATCCCGTCAGCACACTTTCACCTGCGCAGTAAAACGAATACTCGGGGTAACTCATTGAACCTTTTACACAGCCTATACCAATATCTTTCATAGGCATGGCTGTCTTCTCAATCCATATAATAATCCAGTTCCATCATGAAAGTTTTAAAAAGCCTGGAAATTTAGTCATTTAAGTAATGTGTTTCATGGGACAGCAGTAGCTCGAGAGGTGGAGCGAGTTTTCCATTAATCGAAAGGTTGCAGGTTTGATCCCGACTCTGACCAGCAAATGCTGCCTTGCCTCTCAGTGCAAAGAACAGCTGTGGGTACATTGTATCTCATTCCCACCAGTGTGTGTTTGTGTGTATGAATGGGTGAAAGACTTGAATGGCCCCGTGCCCGCCCTCTCCATTCATCACGTCGCAAAGCCCCTAAAACACGTTCTCCTGCCGGCGTCCTGTCAGCTTTCTAAACCGGCAGAATTAAATGAATACTCAGGAAATCTCCTTGAACCTTTTGCACAGCCTATAGGAAAATCTTTCATAGGCATCGATAAAATCTAAATTCCTATTATATTCCAGTTCCATCGTTTAATTTTTAAAGATCTTGGAGATTTAGTCAATTAAGTCATGTACTGCATGTGACAACAGTAGCTCGGGAGTTGGAGTGGGTTTTCCAGTAATCGGAAGGTTGAAGGTTTGATCCAATCTCTGACCAGAGAATACTGCCTTGCCTCTTAGTGCGCCCCAGGGTAGCTGTGGCTACATTGTAGCTCACTCCCACTAGTGTGTGACTGTGTGTGTGAATGGCTGAAAGACTGTGTTAAGCGCCTTGGAGGGTTGTAGAACTCTACTAAGGCGCTATACAAATACAGGCAATTTACCATTTCATGCATGGGAACATTTGTACAAAAATCTCAAAATATTCCCAGATTACCTTTGTGATGTGAGACTCCTGCTTATATATTTATAAGGATCATAAATGTTACATTTTTCTTACAATAAAATAATATTTGCATTAGTGGCTGTCCAATAAAAATAAGTCCATGTGTTTCATAAACCACCTAAGAGTGAACTCTGTGCCAAATTTCAAGAAGATTGTTATTCGGAATTGGCGCTACAACTACTGGCTTAAAATGCATTTTTGTAAATATAAAGAGCAAACCTCTTTGTGGAGCTGCAGTTTTTGTGATATGAACTCAAGGCTACACAGATAACACAACCTAAAAATATTTGCCTCTTACATGCAAATAATGATTTTTAGGAAGTTTTTCAAATTTGAAATTTGAAACGAAGCCACGCCCACTTTGATCGATCATTACCATATTGATAGTGTAGTCCTAAGACTCTATACTGATGACAACCACTAAGTTTCACGCAGATCCATTTAGCCAGTTCAGCAGTATAAATTGTTCCTATTTATAGTGCCCTCTATTGTTGAATCAAGCTGAAAATCAACATATACACTTGAATTGACCTTGGATACGGTTGTTTTGAAAAGCTTTGAAAAACGTCAACATCTTTTAAAGTTATACTAAAAAAAGTTTTCATTTCAAAAAAATTATTTAAAAAGTTATTTTTCCAAAAATAAATAAAACATGAAAAATCCGTCCAGATCGTTTGGTCAGCTTCTCTTCCCCTCATGTCAGGCAAAGTTTTGATTTGATTGTGTTTGAATTAAATTCAATTCAATTCAATTCAATTCAAAAATTCTTTATTAATCCCAGAGGGAAATTGATTGCTGTAGTAGCTCAGAATAATGATAATAATAATCAAGTCATCAAAGAGTTATTGTATTTGACGGCCAGGAGGAGTTAACAAAAGTACATTTGACTTACTATGCAATTTTCTACAAATTTGCATAAGGTTAAATATTTTTTCAAAATACTCATCTAAATTTGACTGACTCAATGAACATACAGTACAGGATGAGATCATTTGTTTTTTTAACTGAAAAAAGGGTGAAAAAATGCCAAAAATATGTTTTAGGTACAACAGTGCCACCTATTGGACTAAATTCTAAAATTTCTCTGTGATTGTAGATAATAATGTTATAGATCTGAACTGTAAATTACTGTATAGAATATATATTTTTCAAGAGTAAAAGGGCGAAAAAAATTTAAAGCCTATAAGTCACACCCACTTTTAATCTTTTTCAAAATATAGCTGAGGGTCCGAAGATAAACAGCTGTGCCAAGTTCTGTGGAAATCCATCGAGCCGCTTCACTGAAACAAACTTTTTGATTCTTCGGCGCCCCCTATTGGTGAATCAAACCAAAATTAAGTATATCTGGCTTACACCTCATACTTTGTAAAAGTCTAAAATCTCATTATCTAAACCTAAAAAATAGTGGAGATATCATCAATTAAAATGTGTGCTAGCTAGCGCACTGAATTTGACATGGTGTCATTAGCCCAATTTTCTATATTTCCGCATTTTTCTTCATCACAACGACTTAGCTTAGTCTATAGATCATATGTACAAAGTTTGAAGTTGATTCGACAAAAATTGACAGATTGGTGATTAAAACTAAGTTTAGAATTTTTTTCGACTAGCAAGGCGGAAATGGGCGTGGCCAATACAAAATCATGCAAAATCGTCCAAGGATCATGCACATATAAAGTTTGTGACTGTAGGGCCTATGTTTTGGGAGCTAGTAGCTAGTAGAAACTCACTGACCTTCTCAATAGCGCCGCCTAGGTGACTCTGGGTACAAATTTTGTATTTTCTATCAGACTGCCATGTCAGATTTTTTCTGGTATTTTCTGGCTCCTGCGCCCATATGGAATTAGCGGAGAAGAATAATGCCAGAAAAATAATAAATAATGAAAAATCCGTAGAAAAACAACAGGGCTCCCTGCCCGTTGGGCTTGGAACCCTAAGAGAGTTATACTCTGCCTTTGGGGGCACCATTGCTCTAAGCCTGACAACATTATATTATTAAGAAATTATTATACTTTTTGCTTTATTACAGCACCAGTAAAGCTTCCTGTGCACAGATTATTAAGAATGCTTGTTTCCGCTGTGAGATTAGACGATAGGATCAATGAAAATAAGTTTGTCAAGGACACCATGAAACTTTCAGAGGATCCACAAATAGTGGCTTTCACGTGGTTTTGTTGCTGACAGATTTTTGTGAGTTTAGAAAATTTCTTTGTCTGACAATATTAGTTAGAACATGTCAGTAAAGTCTGAGGTGTTTTTACAAACACTGAGCGCACCAACGACAGTGTTGGGAGTAACGCGGTACAAAAGTAATAAATTACAGTAATGCATTGCTTTTTGCTGTAATGTGTAATGTAAGGCATTACAGGGAAAGAAAATGGTAATATTTACTGGGTACAATTGTCAGTAACGCGGTAATTACAATGCATTTTTAAACCCAGAATCAAGATATGGGTTTCCAAAAAATTCTAATTGCGGGAAGCCTGAAGAAAGATCCAGTATCTACATATATTACGTAATTTATGGACTCAGCTTTGCAGGCATTCAATGAGCAGAGAGGACGCAGCGGTAATGGCTCATATACTCCAGCTGCGTCCTGTTATATTCACAAGATCGCGCCACCAAAACAAAGTTATTCGTTTGCGATCGTTTATATCAGCCCATATTTTCTGGTACTTCATGTACTTTTCAACTGAGTTCATAATCTGCGCCCCGGGGATTCCAACTCATTGCTGCTGGAGCACAGCGCATATTAAGCTTTTTTTTTTGTGTGTGTTTGGTAATCCCTTTGGCTAATTAGTTAGAAAGTAGGAAATCTAGGAAACAGTTTTTCTGGAAGGCGGAGAAAACATGCAGCATGCAGGAAGGTTAGAGAGAGAAAGGGCAGGAAATTATTCAAATAAAATCAAGAAAACAAAACAAAGTGCTTGAAAAAAAAGTAGGTAGATTTATCCCCAATACACATTTTTACCAGTGAAAAGCAATAATATATAAGCATTTAATATGTATACATGTGATAGAATCAGATCACCCCAGAAGTCAGTCCCACATCCAGGGCCGTATCAAGGCATTTAAGGACCAAGGTAAATATAGGCTTGGAGCCCCCACCACCTCACTCCCTGCTCAGATGGCCCTATAAGATGGCAGCGTGCTGAGAGTACAGATTGTTGTTGCTTTTATTTAATAAACAATAATTTTAAAGCACCGTTATTATATCTGACTGTTTTTAACAACAATCCTAGCTCAGACACCACATCACTTTCCACATATGTCATGAGCTCACTGAGCGTCAGATTACCAGATTCATATTGAAGTTGTTTTGGTGAAAGTAGCTTAAAGTAATGCAAAAGTAGT